ACCAAAAGAAAACAACTGCAAAAATAACATGAGTGAGCTTCCTCAGGAGGGTGAGTATGGTAAGGCCCAACTTAAACAGAGCCCAGGTCTCTATTTAGAAGAGATCCTAACCCCTCCAGTTACTGTGGGGAGGGCTTGCAGGGCAGAGGCTCTGCGTGGGACCCTGACTGATAAGGGAGGGTGATCAAAGCCATCTCAGACAAACAGACCTTCCAGCACATGACGAGGCTGGAGACATACTGAGTGGGACAGTGCACAGTGCAAAGGCAGGCTGGGAAGGCCTCTGTGTGATGCTTCCATCCATCCTGGCTGCTGTAACCAAATACCACAGACTTTGGAAGTTTGCAAACAATATGAATTTATTTCCCACAGTTCTGGAAGCTGGGAAGGGCTAGTGGATTTGTTGTCTGAAGTGTTTCCCAGAGATGGCAGCTTCTTGCTGTGTTCTCCCATAGGTGTAGGATCTAGGTAAATCTTCGAGGTCTCTGATAAAGACACTGATCCATTTGTTAAGAGTTCCACTCCTAAAGCCCAATCATCTCTCAAAGGCCCCCTAATACCACCACATTGGGGTGAGGATCCCAATGGATGAATCCTGGGAACGCACACATGGACCCCAGTCCATGCCGCAGAGTAAGTGGCATGTGGAGACTCAGGCTAATATTCCTTCAGAATAACCCTCTAGGTCACAGTGGCTTCTTCCATGAGGATCTAAAGTCCCCTCACCCACAGGGATTCTTGATACATCCAGGGTCAGGGTTCCAGGAAGCAGTTAATGTGAAACCAGTCATTTGTTGACAGCCTGAACATATTGACCACTCAAACCTGAACCATCTGAGGGCTTGTTTGGTGATTCTAGAAGGAGCAGTTATTCATATACCCTTGCTCAGAGAACAAGTCTCCTTCCTGACAGCAAGTTGTCTTCTTCAGCCCAGAACACTCTCAGGAGACACATGGAGCATTAAGGAAGGAGATACCCACCGAACCAGCCAGATCAGCCACATCAACCCTGGCCATCAAGGGGTCACATCGCAGCCAGCTTACCCTTGTTATGGGTTATGTCTAGATGCCCTCCCAAAGCCTCATGCAGTCTGTGGGGGGCTGTTCCTCAGAGGCAGGTGGAGCTAGTGTGTGGTGCTGGATCAAGGGTGTGAGACAGTAAATTACTCCACAATTGGTTTGGCATAGTTCAGGCCTCGATTAAGGGAGTGTTACATCCCATCCCCCTCCCCAGGCTGGCTAAGGGCCACAAAGACGGCTAAGGTGCGCCAGCCTCTTGCATGCCATGGACTTTTCTCCACGTGATGTCTTTCTGCCACAGTACCCTGCCTTGGAACCAGCCAACTATGGACTGAAACCTCTATCCTCTTTTAACTTTAGGTATTCCAAAGTATTTTGTCCCTGCAACAAGGAAAGTAAGACATCGTATAGCCCTAAGTCCAAACACTCAGAGTAACAAGAGGAGGCTTTTAATAATTATGTAGGGACTACTGCATGTCTCAGGCAAACTGGAATATTTTACCATGTCTGTTTTTTGAACCCACTGCTATGTTCTGGACACTTGAAGAGGGTGATCAGGTCACTTAATTATCACAGTAACTCAAGTAAGCAGATGTAGCTGTTCCCACTTGTAAACACTCCAATCCACTAACTCTTTTCCAGATAAATCTGTATATCATGACTTAACTGTTAAGTTACTTTTGACCCTCAAATTAGTCGAGCTGAAATTTCAGCTCGCAATGGCAGCAGCACTCCATTGTGTCCTTACAGAGCGGATTATACAGCCCTTACAGTTTACCAGAGTAAAACGGAAATCACTAGCAGTGATGAGTATTTACTATCATTTGTATATCTAATTAATAGTTTATGTACCTTTGTTAGCAATGCAGTATTTAAAATCAGCTCACAAAATTCCCCCAAGCTTAGTCCTTCAATCTTGGGAAGTAAGCTCCAGCATTGCACAGTGGCCCCTGACATCAGTCTCTTTCCTCCCTCCTCAACTTTACAAATGGGCAGCCCAGAAAGGGCGCATGGAATTGGAGACCTCCAGAGTACTCTGGACTGGGGAAAGGTCAAGGTCAAGGTCAAGGAAGCTAAACTGTCTCCAGATGTCCTTAGTTCAGGAGCACCCTGAAGGTCTTCCTGGAATGTTTCTAAAGTTTCTAAGAGCATAGGATCCTGGAAGTCTCCACATACACACACAGAAAGCCACTAAAACAAACCAAGCAACTCGCCCACTGCAGTGAGAGTCTAACTAGGCACCCACTAAGGAAAGAAATCCTCAAGGTGTCCTTACTACATAAGCAACACCAACTTACACGAGCAGCTTCGCCCCAACACAGGCTGCCACTCAAGACATTATCTAGCCCTCTCATCCTCACATTGAACCTGTGTGGCAGGTGGCAGAAGGCATCCTCATCTTACCTATCGGTAAGGAAACCACTGCCTTAGCACACAGAAACTTCCCACTCTGCATGGAGTGTTCTCAGCATCAGCACAGACTTAAGGAAAGGGGATCTCTGGCTTATTCCACAACTAAGCACTGATGTGCATGTGCACCTTCCCTCTATCCTCTGGGAGAACTGTCACCAAGCAGAAAAACCTAGTTTTACATGGCCCACCAGGTGCCTAGTGGAAGCAGCTGTTTTATCGAGTCAACTCAGTCAGGCAAGGAAGTCACACCCCCACAGGTGTCTGCAGACACTTCAGCAACTAAAAACTCAACCGACTTTTATGGCTTAGGGACTTCTTTATTCTGAGACAGTGTCTGGCTAGTTAGCCGATTGGTCTCAAACTCATGGTGGGTGATCTTCTTGCCTCCCAAATGCTGGGATTATAGGCATGCACCACCACACCCAGTTCAACTTTTGATTTGTGACAGTTCACAAAGTTGCTTATCTGCGGACTGGAGTTCATAGAATAAATTGAGGATGTCCTTCTTCTTCAGTGAGACTGTGTCTCTGCTTTCCACCAGTGGCTTCCAGCACAAGATGCATGTTGAGCACATGTGAACAAAGACACCAATAGTGGTCAAAAATATCTTTTTAGCTTCTGAGTTCATGGAGAGTATTTGGGGATAACACGAGTGTCCTGCCACTAATCAAGCCAAGAACAGTTGGCCCAAGTCTAGAGAAGTTGGCCCCAATCTCTGTTTTGTCCTTCTTTCTGTACAGGTAAATGCCTTCTCGGTATGGACAGTATGGAGCTTCTTGTTATAGCCATATTGTCAAAGCTAAACACCTGAACAAAAGGCTTCCTCTAAGCACAAGGCCTCAAATTCGATTCCCGGCAAGCCCATGCCTCTCAAAGCTTTCTTTGCCAGCTGTCTTCAAAACCTGAAAGTTAACTTGAAGGTATTCAAATGCACTGTAGCTTCCTTTGGTCAAAGGATCCTCAAGCCTTCAGCTCTTGCCCTGGTGGGCTCCATTTCATATGTTGTTTTCTGATACACTGTCCACTACCTCTGAGACCTACCTGCCGCTCTTCTTCCTTCAACCCAACCAGAAATTTTGCCTCCCAGTAAAACTTGAAAAGTATGCATGTTAACCATCAGAGTAATTTTTACACCAAAATAAGTCAAATAAAAATTATAGTAAAACTATTATGAATACACTCATTTTAGAGGCTTCAGCCCAGCTACAGTTCCCAGCCTCGCAGGAAGCACTATGAAATGACAGGTTCAACATGTAGGTGACAGCTCATACTTCAAAGCCTGCCACTTAGTGTACTTCTTGGTGCATCTCTCCATCTAGCTAGCTGAAACACACCAACCATCTAAAGTTAACTAGCATTACCATAGTGACAGGTTATCTCAAACAGAAAAACTAGGTCAAGACAAAGTCCTCCGGCTTGACTGGCTCACTGGTCAAGAAATAATCCTGGGTATGCATCCCAATTCTACTGTCATCTCTGGCCAGAGCAGAAGTATTCCACCCATCTATATTATGGGAACAATATATCTTTGTATTTAAAATACCTGAATAGCTCTGGCCAGAGATCCTGGTGAGGAAGTCCCTCAGCCTAGAGAGCTGAGCACCAAGCTCTGCCCATGGGATTTACCAGGGAGGCTTCCCTGCTGGGTTGCTTGCTGCCCCTAACCAAGAAATGCAAAACCTGGGGACATTTTGTATAAATGCACTGAGGATCACGAAGAGGCAGCAGTTTTGAGTTCTGGCTGTATAATCGAGCCCCCCCCCCCACCTCCACCCCTGCATGTGAACTAGATGAGCAGTTTTCAAGCTGATCTCTTCAGCCTTAGATCAACCCAGAAATAAGTATTTCCACACCCTGAGTTTCTGATTAATGTCTTTTAAAAGACAGGGTCCCACTGCAGCAAGAGGGGAAAAAACCACCCTGAAAGTCTGACCTGGTGTCTAAACAGACAAAACATGACATCAATCTATTTTCTTGTTACTACAACTCATTCCCTTGCTTGCCCGGCACCGAATGAGAAGAAAGCTTTAAGGCTGGCTTTGGCTTTGTTTTAAATTACATTTTAGCCACACAAATGGAATCCTATGTCATCTTTCAGATGTTTTCTGCAAAGAACTAACAGGAACTTCAGGACTGCAGTCATTGGAAGGACTGATCCTCCTTCAGCAAAGCGTGCAGCCACAACAGGGCGCGTCAGGCCTTGGAAAGGTCTGGTAACATTCACATCCAGGACCCTTCTAAACTTGCTTTTACTTGATTTCTGCCTCTTAACAGTCTATTCTGATGTAGGGTTTAATATGCCTCAGGATCACTGGACTAGATGAAGTTTCAGACATTCTAAAGATAAAGTGCTCCAAGATTGACTGTTATCACGGATTGTACTATGCTTTGTCTCCAGGGGCAATGCTTTGATCCTAAGGAACTGTTACCCCTTTCCTCCAAAGGGAATACCAGTTTTAAATAAACCATGATACTATGGTGGACAAGTACTTGATATCTAAACAAACAAACAAATTCCTTATAAAGAGATCACTCTTAGGAAAGAAAGACACCAAACCATTTAAAGATAATTTATATACATTTATGGCTTTATACAATTATAGCAAAGATTGTTCTTGTACCTGTAAGTACATCAGCGTCATCAGGCACTTCTCAGAGTATCGAAACAGAAACATGGAATCTGCACTGTCACTAAGCTCGGTGGCAAAGGTGGGAGAGAGTGACTATCCTGACGGGACTTACACGGCCCCCAGCCACAGTGCCAGGCTGGGCCACGCCTCAAGGAGGGGCCATCAGAACACCAGGCTGCTCTGTCTGTATACAACACTGCGTGTTTTACTCATTATTCCCAAACTGAAACCACAAGAGAAATTTCTCATCTAAAATCCGTGGTAAGTTAGAAATTTTTAAGAACTCCAAGAATTTCGAGTTTTAGAGAGGTAAAGGGGAGGACTGGTAATATAAACCCAGCAGGTGAGTAAGCCCAAATTTTACTCTTTTGGGTGACTATTTCCATTTCAAGTGTCCTTATCCTCGTCTTAGGATGTTCCCTTGATTTACTGCTCACTGGGATACAACATTTGCTAATTAGCCTACAATTTGTCAGTTTGTCAAAGGAGAATTTTCCAAGTAATGCACCTATTTCCTAAATATATTCCATACATCTATATTACAGAAACAATACATCTTTATATTTAAAATATCTGAATAGCTCTATAATACAATACGCTTTTAATAACAGTACAAACTGGAGGAAATAAATCAAACAAGGCTGCATAGGTGATATCGTATGCACATTTCACAAAGCAATCATGTACAATAGTAAACTAATTACTCCAGAAAGTCAGTATTCTTATAGAAAAAGAACTCCCAGAGGCCACATGATGTTCGTTTTCAAAATAGACATCTTTCCCTGGACTTCACTGTACCCCAGAGAGCTACTCAGGATTCATGTTAGGATTTCAATCCAAAGGAAAATGGGCTCAAGAGGAAGAACTATCTTCCAAAGTCACTTCTGAAGGAGCAAGGTTTTAACAGTGATTTTAGCGGTTGCTGGCTGCCTGTGAAGAGGAGTTCTGCAGCTCCTGTCACAATGAAGTAATGGTTTATATGGGAGCAAAGAGGAAGAATGGACGGGGGAGCAGAAGTGAGCACGAGTTCTCTGACACCAAAACTTTCTATGACACAGGAGGCACTTCTTACAGAAAAATGGGTTTCTCACATTTAGGAGAGGCCAAAGAAGATGGTCAGAGGGGGTGATTTCAAGGGTTTGAAATACTGAAAATTATGGTAGAAAGTTTATCATGCAGCTGGTCTTTCAGGAACACTTGCGTTCTTGTTACATATGAGGGGAAAAACACACCAAGAGGGATGCAATGAACATACAAGAAAAAGCAGCAAGTGTGATTTGGACTGTGTACAGAGAAACCAGTCTTCTCAAGAAGACAAGAGAACCCACCACTGATCCTCCTCTCCTGATGAGCCTGGGCATTCCACATGCCTGAAACCCTAATGGAGTGAATGGGAGGCAATGCCAACTAACCTGATCTGTCCGTTACTTAGTAACTGTGAAGTATTAAAATACCATGATTGCAGTATAGTACAGGATGCTAAAGGCTAAAGAAATAGTCAAATTCTCAACCTAGGATAAAGCTTTTGAAGTCACTTCAAATCTGTAAGTTAAAGCTAGTTGGTTGGTCTTCAAATTAATTGCCCCTACTTTTAAATGAGTTCAAGTTCACTTGAAAGACAACTCTACTTAGAAATACAACCATTCTAAAACAAATCACTTTAGTTATATTTCTAACCTTCCTCCTTTAGTTTAAAACTTTGAAAGTTGGAATAAAGAGTGATGGAAAGTGAGGAGGGACACAACTCCTCAAAGCAGAGCTGCAAAACCAACCCCACCTGAACTGAAACAAAAGCACAGAGACTTTAGGGTCATTTTTGCTAAAGCACAACTCAAAATGGTTAAGCTGACCAAGACTGCCAGTTTGACGTATCAGAATTATTTTAGCTGTAGGTCTCCCTTTCTGATCTACAAACATTATGAGGCCTCCCAGAAATAACTGTAACAATGCAACATATAGGTATCTACCACAGGAGACGCTATGCAGTGCACACAGTTCACAAGATAACAGAAGCAGGTGCAATTTCTTTAAAATACATACATAAAAACATATTTAGTTCTTCTAAATACAAAATGCAAAGTGTTCATAACTATACATCACTTTCTTGCCCAAACAGGGCTAAAAACATTGAGTATGCAAGTACTAATTACAATGATTTAAGATTAGTCAGAAACACCACCAAGTAGCATCCCAAAGTATACAAACCAGTTAAGCACATATAAAATTAGTACTAATCCAGTTAGAAATACAAAATGAAAATTATGAATGCTGTCCCAGAAAATACCTATGATTCCACAAATTTACAAGCGGACAATGTAACAAAGTAGACTCTAGTTTTAAGAAAACATTGCAGTTCAATATCTATTCCAAAAATGATCTCAAGTCCCAACAATGACATCAAAAATCATTTATCTGGAAATTAGAACCATTTTAAGTGTTTTTACAAATTTGCAAATAACAAAATAAAAAAAATAGAAAAGACCTATACAAGGCTGGCGCTTAATCTATTTTTCCCCCAGAAGTTTGACAAGTCCATTGACTCAGCAGATTGGTAACAGGCTACTTGGTTCTCATGTGAATCCTGTGGCATGTGAACAGGTCCAGAGTCACTCAGTGGAGGTGTAGCAGAGCTCAGTTTTTTGTGATTCATCACTTCAGCAGAACACAGGTAGTACAAACAAATGTTTAACTTATCAAGACATGATCACAGTATTACAAAAACAGTATAAACTTTCCTTGGACCAAATGGGTATTTAAAAAAACAAAAACACACAAATACAATTTTGTATCTACTGTTTATATACAAAACCTGAAAGCATACCAGGATCCAAAAGTCTTTTCTGCAGTATATGGTGTAGTGAGTTTGGCACTTCATTGTAAAGAAATTTCCAATGGCACAGTCCTTATCTACAGCAGCACATAACCTGCAAACATTAGGCAAACATCCTGTACAGGAAAAGTAACTTTGCTGCCAACTCTGATGAAAAGAAAAAGGAAGAATTTTTTTTTTTTTTTTTTTTTTTTTAAATCAAGAAAACCAGAAGGATGGGTGAAGGACATCTTTGGACTGCTTCTCTCGGTTCCTGCTGTCAGACATTCTGAATGACTCTGTAGCCTAGGAAAAAGCATACACACAATGAAAATACAGTCAAACTAAAATCAATTCATTTAACAAACAAGGGTGACAGACATATGTGGGAGGTAGAGACCTTTCTCAAACAGCTCTAAAATCATTCAACAGCAAAAATCTTATTAAAAAAACTTCAATATTTGATTTGCATCACATATTTATTTATTGAAGAGCTACTAAAAAGATACAGCCACTAACTGTCAAAAGAAAATATTTAAAGCAGGAGGAGAAAGCTTTGCTATGGTTAAATTTGAAGGGAAAATGGATGAGCTGTAAAGAGATGGGCACAGAATGAATAATAAAAGACATTTTTCTGCAAGGGGCAGCCGGCTGACATCAAACAAGGGCTGAAGACACAAGGCAAGTTACTGGGGTCCTCTTTTAAATTCAGTTTCAAAAGGCCTTTTGATACTGGGGTGAATTTACCTGCTCACTAACTCTTAGCCCGACACCCAGCTGTGTGTCGTCGTCTTGACACTGTGTGAGAAGCTTTGGTTGGGCAACACATTGTCAAAGTTAAAATCCAAGGTGTCTCCATCCATGAGGTCATTCCGAATGATGGACTCCATGTCACAGTCCAAACGCTCAATAAACATTCCATCCAAGTCACTTGGGAGCTTCTCCTGGTGGAGAAGGCCCATCCTGCCATAGCCATTGCAGCTGCTCACTGAAGAATAGCCCAGAGCATTCATCTGCATGGGATGGGAAAGAGGCACTTGTAAAGGTGTCTTCACTGGGGTCAGACGGCTCATACTTGAGGTATGAGGCATGGTGTTCACTGCATGGGGCAGGGAGCGCCCGTTTACTGCAGATGTTGGCTGGGCATGTCCAGGGTGGGTATGGGAGTTGGGATTCATCATTTTGTTATGAGATGCCTGGTTGCCATAGGTTGGCATGACCGAATTAGGGCCCATCATCACATTCTGGCCCAGGACCCGGCTATTGGGTTGAGCCACCCCAGGATCAACTGGTGACATGATGTCATTATGGGGCGGAGAGTCAGAAGTAAGTAACTCCTTTAAGAGTCCTGGGGCACAGTTATACTGATTCAATCCTCCGTAACTAGATTTGTTGTCCTGAAGTGTTTGCATAGGCATCTGGGGCAAAGGGCTCATGCTGGATTGGCCATATGTGTATTTTTGGTAGTTTGGATTGGGGGAGTTCAGACTGGTATTTGGCGGTGCAAAGGAGTAACATGTCGTTTGCTGCATCATGCTGCCAGGCGAAGACTGGGTTGAAACAGTTAATGGTGTTGGGGATGACAGAAGGTTGAGATTATCCAACAGGTTTTCCATGTTTTCAGGATTGCTTATCTCAGACAGACTGGGCAGAGTAGAAGCCATCTTGGCAGCAGACGGTGGGTACACCAAGGAGTGCACATCCCCGTCTCCCAGGTCATCCTGTTCCGTCATAATGGGGGACAGTCTCCCACTGATAGTGCTAGCATTTGAGCTAGTTCGAGGGCGAAATGTACTCCAGTTATCAAAGTCATCATTGCTGTGAGAGCCAGGGCTCGCAGGCCATTTGGAAAACTGTGATCCAGGGCTGTCCCCAGCACCTTCTTGGCCAGACTGGAGGGATGATTTTTTCTTAGCAGCTCGGCCTCGACTCTTAGCAAATTTACTGTTGTTGTCCATGGACGCAGCTCTTCTCCTAGGGGACTTTCCACTCTTGCCTCCTTCTGGATTGAGCATCCACCAAGAACTTTTTCCAGTTCCTTCATTCTGCACACGAATGAATTTGCTGTGTAGGGACAGATTATGTCGAATTGAATTCTGTAAAGCAAAAAAATGTCATGTTAGAAGTACAATACTTAAAAAAAAAAAAAGAAGTAGTACAATACTTATCCACTTGGAAAGCTTAGCATTCAACACGTATCACATGGAAGACAAGTAACATTTTAAGAGTTCCTGGTACAACTTTCAATTGAAACACTTATTAAAGCTCCAGACCCACTACAAACTCCAGACCCACTACAAAAGACCACAAACTGATATACGAACAACCGTATCATACATTAAAAATAGTATCTAAGTTAAATAGGCATGATTAGAAATACCTTCTTTTATACAGTTATGTTTTATGGGCAGATTACAGAATTGGCTTATAAACCAACTAAGTTTTACTCAGTCACAGTGCTATGCAAATAAAAATCTGTTTTAAAAGTGCCATCAAAACCTTTTTTCATTCTACTACTCCTAAAACTCCCAATTCTCCACAGAAGAAACATGCCATTTGTACAATGTGACAGGTCCTATACTACTGGACCCACATGATTATGGAAAAAAAGATGAAATCAGTTACTTCTAACAAGAGAATTAAAAACCTTAAAATTGTAAGATCTAGAATGATTTATACCTTCAAAGTCCATTAGGCAAATACAAGTAAATAATATGAAGAAAATGATCATTTTATTTAAAAAAAAAAAAAAAAAAAAAAAAAACCTAACCCTAACTCTGCTCTAACCCAAACAGCTGAAGTACATCAACTCCATGACACTGCGTGAAGGGTTACACCTTGTCCAAAAAGACAACTACAGACAGGGAGTAGGGTGCAGAACATAATTCTAAGGCAAGCTTCTACACTTCTTTTCAGGGCGCTGTGGGCAGAAGTTTAACAATGTTACACATAAAAATTCACAACTAACAAGCATGTGGCACAAGGGGCCACGGTCTGTAAGGGTTCAGCTGCAGACAAAGAAGCCCAAATATGATTCTCCTAACTCAACACACAGCCAGACATCTGACACCGGGTTGGGTCTGTGGAACACTTCTGGAAAAACAATATGAGCTCCTGAGAAAGAAGAATCTATCAGTCTTAGCAGCTTTTGCCCCAGCACAGTTACTACCCAGTCATTCAGCAGCCTTATCGTGTGTGAGAGCAGAATTCTGGGTACCTCAGACCAATGGGGAAGGAGCTGTATACATGGCTCCCAGGCTTTCTTGCCCTCCTCTGCCAACTGACCAAGCACTTTGCTTGCCTGCAGCACCTCTTCTGGACCACAAAAAAGCCTCCGCTTGAATTTGTGGTCACTTAGGGAAGCAGCCACAATGCCCACATCCTCATGCTGTTGTCATGGGACAAAGATGCCCAAGTGCCAACCACTGTGCCAGAACATAATCTCTGCACAGCAGGTCAGGGCCAGGCCCCTCTGTGACACTTAGTTCACATCTTTTCCTACTGAAAGGAAGTAGGAAGATGAAAAGGGGCTTGGAGATCTCACTTTCTACAAAGAGATGAAACAGTCAGAAAGAGGCCCGACAGGGCTGAGAAAATGACATTTCAAAATGTCTTCTGACCCTTGTACTAATCCCGCCTACGGATTACAACACAACTGCCCTTCTGCCAGGGCAGACAGTGAGCGCGTACCAGACGTGGCCCAACAGGAGTGTGCAGCAGGATGCTGGGCAGGTGTGCAGGGACACGGCAGGAATGGTCTCCTGTTCCTAAGACTTCCCTCTTCCTTCCCTCCTTTTGATCTACACCCAAAGCAAAACAAGCTGTGAGGACATGGTCTACACAGAATCCCCCAAAGACACTAAGGAATGCATTTCTCTCATATCCTATTTCATTCCAAAGATTCCCCAAATCTCACGGGAAGGCACTGACACATGTGCACACACACATACATGCACGCATGCTTACAAAGTCACAGCGTCATGTGCTGTGTCCACCAACACAAGCAGCCCAAACTCTCCTTCCCCCCTAAAGGTGGCAGTCTGTGCTGGGCAGAGCTGGAATGCAGCCACGCACTGCACCCTGGGGCCAGTCTACATCCCGAAGTCTGGGCATATACACACTATTTGCTCATGACAGTTTTGTTCTTTGGACACAATAGACACACAGATAAGCTCCAGTGAAACCTCTGGAGGAGAGGAAGCTTGGCCCTTGTTCCTGTCACATTTAATTAATAAAAGGGGGAGAATGATCTTCTCAGATAGCAGCTTCCTGGTTGTCTGCACTGACTTGGGCGGAGGGGTGCTGCTCTACAGCCCCAAGATGGTTCTGTCAGACACACTGGCAAGTGCGACTGGGGGCCTTTTTAACACGACTACAGAAGACGTAATAATGAAATCTTTACGCAAGTTCAAGAACATTCACTAACTCGAGTGGGATATATACGAACTACTTAAGATTTTTTTTGTTTTGTTTTAAGGTTATAGCAATCCCTTACTTATCAAAACATCACACTACATATTTTTCTAAGAGGACATTTCAGGTCACTGAGTAACAGAGCTGTCTACTGCCTTTGCCAACAATTAAAAAAAATTTTTTTCCGAACAGGAAAAGGTTTGCTGTGCAGAGCTCGTTACATAAATTCCTGTTTTTCACACAGCCAGCAGAACATTAAAGAAGCCATGATTTCTGAAGGGGCATGATTTGGAGGTGACTCCTTTGAAAATAAAGGTCACTAGTACTGACATTTGTGTCTTGTCTGCTGGATGCAGCAGAAACTGAACAAGCAGTACCAGCACAGGACACTGCATCAGAGCTGCCATGACTGCTGGGGCTCTGAGATACTCTGCTCCTGGCTTTCCAACTATTGCATGAGCAAAGAGGTAGGGGACAAGGACTAACGTTAATGCACCTTCACTCACTCACCCAAATCTTATTTCTGTGGCAGTGGGAGAAAAAGCCACGTCAACCAGTCTCCTCTCCACTATCTGCAGCCACAACATTCTGCTGAAGTTCAGATGGCTCTCAAGGCCCACTCACAAGCCTCTGCCATCCATCTGCAGACTGGCCACCCCAAGCAACACAGCACTTTCCTTAGGAAGCCTGACCCAACAACTTCTCCCATGGATAAGGAGTGGGGTGGGGATGGGGGGCACCCCAGACATGGTTTGTTGTACCATTTACAACACTTGAATGTCTATTCTCTGCCCTCTATAGATCGGATTCCAAGTTCTTTTAAAGGCAAGGTGACAAAATTTGTTCTTAATGTCTAACGTCATACATGTTCTGCACGTATTTTCAACAAATATCTGTTGACTGACATCCTGGAAACAACCCTGTTACGGTGTGATGTCTAACTACACACCTCTGATCCATCCATTCATGTACTAAATCTTGCTAGCTCCTGTTTATTGGAAGCATCTCTCAATAAGCCATCGCATCCTTGCAGCTGAGTATCATGGGACCCTTGCTTACTCACTACAGTTTGAGTGCTGTGTGTGCTTCCAGGAGTGTGTCCAGCTCCCCCCACAATGAGCACTGTTCACAGGAGCACAGAGACCTTGGCTGTACTCTGGTACTCTGAATCCTCACAGTGACATCAAGTAAGTACCAAACATCTGTTGAAATGGATTCATAGCTCCAACACTGACATGGTTTTGAAAGGATGAAATAGGAGCATGCATGTAAAACATTTAGCTCAATCAATATTAGTAATATTACTATTACTGCTACTAGGTTAACAGCATCTATAGAACATTGTCTGAGTTTTACAGATTTAGTCTTATTTCTTTAGAATCATACCTTCTATTATTCCCACCAACAGGAGGCTTCTAAATGTTAATTTTCTAGAAAAAAGTTGACTGCTTCAAGGACAAGTTATGGTATTTCTCTACATACCAAGCACTGTCTAGAACTAAATTCAAACACTGTAAGTCATTTGGTCAGTGTGCATGCTGGGCAGAGGCTCTAGAATCTTAAGCCTTCTTCACTGGGCTGATGCTGAGCCTGTATAACTGCACGCTTGCTGGGGCTCTCAGACTCTGGATCCAGATGTTTGAAAACTCCACAGAGCTGAGCTGCTGGGAAAGGCCACGGGGGATCTCCATGGAAGTCGTTCTGACTGAGCTCCACTGTGCTGTTCCACTGTCTGGCTAGAAGTAAGCTCTCAGGATACCAGGACCCCCTCACCATACAAGACAGAGCACATGTTAACTACCCTTTTCCAAGACCCCATTGGTCTAAGCATGCACTGAGTTGTAAGACAAAAACATTTAAAATTTTTATTTACTTTAAAATTTCCATCTCATTCTTTGAAAAGTCATAGTCAATAATGTGCTATGAAGCCAGGCACTATGGTGCACACTTGTAATCCCAGAACTTAGGAAACTGAGGCAGGAGACTTGCTGTGAGTTCATGGTGGTGCTGGGGGGAGGGGGGGAGACACATGACATGGTGAGTTCAAGGCCAGCCTGAACTACATAATGAGACCCTGTCTCAAGCAACCAAAGGGTAGTGTTATGTGATATACACATCATGTTTAAATTGTGAATGACCAGTTGTATCAAAAAGGATATGTGACTCTACATCTGTAATTCCAGCCAACTGGGAGGGTGAAGCAGAATGACCACAAGTTTGAGGCAGCTTGCACAACCCAGAAAGACTCTACCGCAAAATAAAATTTTAAGGGCTGGCCAGCACAGCACCTGCCTGGCAAGCATGAGGTTGAGAGTTCCATTCCTGGGACCCAAATAAATAAGTAAGTAATTTTAAAAGGGCAAAAATAAAGAAGTGTGTAATTCCCCCTCACCCAAAAGCATCCAGAGACTACTGGTCTATTCTAGTAGACTTTTAGGTACCTGAAAGAACATGTGAGAGGAAGAAAAAGCCCAGTCCAGAAAATTCTTGTCTCTCGTCACTCCCAACCCCACTTAAAGGAACCCTTAAAGAAATGGGCTGATCCCGGCCTCTGCTTACAGCTCTACTCCTGCCATGAGAGCCAAGCCTGCCCTCCTGCCTGGCCACCGTTCTCCCCGTGTGCCCTGGCGCTTTGACCCTCCAAATGCTGCCTTCTGACCTGAGCTCTGGCTCAGAGGCACCC